AGCTGAAATTTTGACAACTGGTAGTCGTTATCATCCATGATAACATACTAAAATTTGAATCATTTGCAAAGGATAGACAAAGAATTATAACATTTATTTATTTTCAAAATAGGATCTTCCAAAAGTAAGGGACAAAATTGAGAAAAACAATGTAAACGGCAAAAAACAATAAAATACATGTACAATCAATATTTAGTAAATGAGCCCTTGCTCTCAATGACAGCTGCACATCTTCGACTACAAGAACGAATCAGTTCTTGACAATCCTCGATACTAATTTTAGACCATTCTTCTTGAAGCTTCACCCACAAATCCTCCGTGTTAGTGGGATTTCTTTCCATAACTTTCACTCCTATGGTCTTCCAAAGATTTTCTATTGGATTTAAGTCAGGACTTTATGTGACCAATCCATAATTTCCAAATCTTGCTCGCTAAGGTAACTCATTACCACCTTTGCCTTGTGACATGGGGCATTATCTTTTTAATATATATATATATATATATATATATATATATATATATGAGAGAGAGAGAGAGAGAGAGATTTCAGAGGGTTTCATATTTCTAACTTTCTAATCTGGTAACCACAGTTCCAGATTGAGGCTTGGAAATTTTACTAAGTCCATGTATTTGTATATTATGTGATCTCTACATTTTGGTTACTTATAGTTATCTCCCTTGCTCTTACTAAGCTAAATGGTAGTGCACCTTTTCTATGAAGTTGTTAGCTTCTTCAAAGATATTTGCCAGAGATACAAAAACCAACTACATAAAAAAAAAAAAAGAAAATAGAGTAGTACAATAATTGGAGAAAAATATTTAAATTTCATCTTAATTTTTAGTTATTTTCTTACCGCAATGGCTGCTAATGCTTAACTGTCACTTTGTGAAAGACGTTCAACAGGATGCTTCCCTAGCCATTAAAATCTTAATTTCTCCAAGTCTAGGATAGTTAACAATTACTTATCCTACATATCCTTATAATATGCACTACCTCCTCCTCCTTGTACAGTCTCACAACAATCTCATTCCGTAACCCTCTACCTTGAGAGGCTCTTGGTCCTTGTATCGGGTGAGCAATAGTTTAAAAAAAAAAAAAAAAAAATTTGAAATGTAAAAAGCTAATAATACAGGGTTTCCTATAATGAGCAAGTATATAAAATGACATAGAATACCAAATATATTTATTACATAACTGATATACAAGAGTTCAACATATTGTCTAAGATTTTACTCTAGGTATCCGATATCTTTTTTGCTGACAGTGGGCTTTCATAATGTCATGGTCTCTAAAAGAAAATGCATATGTAGTGGAAGCATACTTCACCAGCCAAAGATCTATCGTTGAAGCCCAAAGGAAATTCCAACAGCATTTTGGAATGTGACAGGCACCATCCCAAAAGGTGATCCTGCATGCTGTTACAAACCTCCATGAGACAGGCAATACCAATTGTGTATGTTTTCTTCATGATGGTGCCCATCTCAGGGATGAAATATTCAAATCTTAGATAAGATGTTGAAATCTTGTATATCAGTTACGTAATAAATATATTTGGCACTATGTCATTTTTATAATCCAAAATACTTGCATTTAAAATGTGTCTCAGCAGTATAGGACACCCTGTACGAAAGACATGAAATATCAATTATGTATAGTCATTTTTATAGTGGAGATAAATAATTCAGTCATAATTTGCTACAGTGAAGCCAGCAAAAAAAAAAAGTGGGGGGGGAGAGAAAAAAAAGGAAAAAAAAAAAGAAAAGGAAAAAAAAAAAAGAAAAGGAAAAAAAAAAAAAAAAAAAAAAAAAGAAAAGGAAAAAAAAAAGAAAAAAGGAATAGAAAAAAAAAAAAAAAACTTTTTTTTTATGCTTAACCCATGTGAATGCAAAATACAAGCAACTTACAAAACATTTTTTTCTAAGTTTCCTCAGCTCAAACAAACAGCAAGCAAAGAACTATTGAATATGTTTTTCTTCTCTCCAATCTGAGACTACCTAGGAAGTCACATGATGCAGAGAGACTAAAATCAAATAAAGGAAATGGTATTGATATGCAAATAAAAATGAATCAAGTTTCCAAGAGAGGGAGGGAGGGTTGATTTCAGGCTTAAAAGAACAAGGGTGGGTACAGAGAAATAGGATTAGTCTATTACTTTTTTTTTTTTTGATACAAATGCTAACCTCACTACTACTGAATTACCAAATTTGATTATTTTTCTTTCTCAACAAACCTTCATAATTGAGACAATGGTTAACAAGTTCAGTTAGTAACTGCCAAGTTGTGAGTTCAATCCTCACTGACGGCATTGAGTAAATCATAGCCAAAAAAAAAATGTTACAATTTTGGCTAGGATAAAAAATCACTATGATGGCTGGTAATAAATTTATTTATTTCTGTTGCGTACTTTGAGTTTATGAGTCCACTCTGTTTGCAAGAGAAATTTATAGTAAATTGATCAAAACCTCTAAAAACGTTTTTAACAATGCTATGGTCACACATTCAATATATCTTATAGTTGGGATGTCCTTGTATTCTATAAGACCCGACTTTTCTCTTTGGCATTGAAATATGAATTACATGTTCCTTGAATTTTCAATTTATTTGAGACTGGGATTTTGTCCACTTTTGGGATAAGAGGCTAGGTTTTTGACAGATGTGTGCTAACCTTGCCATCTGACTTTTTTTTACTGTGACTTTTTGTCCTGTGGCTTTTTTTTATTACTTGTATTCACTTAAATAAGCTCTAAGAATTAATAGACATAACCCAAGCTTATGATTTTATCTACTTGACAGGAAAACAGCCCACAATCTTACCTAACAAGCTTGTTTAAATGGCTGGTAGAACAGGGATTAAGAGAGATACCTAGAAGACAGTTGTTAAATGGGGTAGGAAATGGCTTGTAAATTTTAACGCCTCCAAGACAAAACTGCTCTCAACCACCATAGATGAACTTTTCTGCCTGCCGTCAGAATAGCTGACACTGAAGTCCTGGAGAGCAACACATTGTACTTTCTTGGCCTCATGTTTTCACTTGACTTAAAGTGGAGTGACTACAGGAACCTTATAGCTGCATCTATTGCAAGGAAAGTTGGGTCACTTTGTTGTGCCAGAAAATTTTCAGAGCCCATCTTCCACATTTACAAATCTACCTCGTGCATTGAATACTACTGCCCTATCTAGTCTGGTGCTCCTATTCATCTCGAGGTTCTTGACAAAATCCTGAGAAGGATCAATCCTGGCTTGGCATCTCGACTTCAGTCAATTCCTCACCAATGAGACATGGCTTCCCTCTCTCTTTTCTACAGATATTTCCATGGTAACTGTTCTGATGGACTTTTTTTCCTCTAGTGCCCCAACTACATGAATTTATGCATGCTACTAGATAGATATATAGGTCCCACCCATTAACTGTTGAAATAGATAAATGCAACTGCCACTTCTACTCCAGCAGTTTCTTTTCTTGCACTTCCTGTCTGCAGAACTCACTTCTGTTTACTTGCTTCCCTGATAACAATCTTCAAAAATTTAAATGCAATGTCAATTACCATCTGTTCATCTTTTGTCCTTTCCTCAATCCTTCCAAAACTCAGACTTTTCTCTCACTTTCACTCCTTGTAAACTAGTGGCATTTCCACCATGCTTGGGGTGAAATGATTTAATAAAAAAAAATTTATAAGAGCTAAAAATGTCAGGGAATTGTGGAGAGCTATGGTCACCCACATCATGAAGGGACATGGCACATAAAAGAAAACAAGGAGACAGTCACAAAGTTAGGAAGGTATTTAATGACCTCCCCTCTAAGGCAGCATGAGATGCAAAGTCATTTTTTTATATGGGAAGCCCATACATGTACATATGGATCAAGCCCTCATTCCTCATTATGTGCTCCAGAAATTTCAAATCCTGGTAAGATCCCCTGTTCCCTTCAGATAGTGTTGCTGTAGAGGTTGAATAAATTTAGGGAGAAGTGACATCCTTGTCTCACACCTCTTTCCATTTTTGCATAGTTACTCAATTCATTTTCTATCCATGAGATGACAGTATGTTCCCAGTATAAGTTCTGGATTATTCTAACATCTTTTCCAAATAGAGTTTTCCTAGTAGTTCAAATAGATCTTTGTTCTGTATCTTGTCAAATGCTTTTGTGTAATGTATAAAGCCGTAAAGGTTTTTATGGACATCAAAATAAGAAACTATTCACTAGTGTAGTTAGATTGATCCTCACTGGGTGCATCACTGTTATGGCTTTATGTCAGACTCAGCTAAATTTCATTAAACAGAGTTTTGTGCTGGTTAGACAGAAAAGTATTAGGAAGAGGAAAAAAGCCAAACAATTATATTCTGACTCAAAAAAGAAGAGGTATTGAGCAAAATTTCATGGAAAAATTAGCTTAGAAGGGGGTGTTGTAATGAAATGTCCCACACTCCCTATTGCCTATGTGGACTGACTATATCAGTAGCTATATATAGTAAGCACAGGATATACCGGGGGGGCTTGCTTCGGCAATTAGTTGGAGATCCGTCTACAGCTAAGCTAGTCAAACTCTATGCCTTTGGGCAGAGAGGAACCCAGATGAGGCTATGCTGAAGGGCAGAGTCTCGTCTGGGGTGATAGACAGCTACCATACCCCATTTTTTACGGGGTCTACAGGGAATTATTGCCCAAGCTTACGGGCTTGGATACCCTACTTTAAATTTGGCCTTGTGCCACATCTGACCGTGTGGGGCGATTGACAAATATCCTTGCTTCAGGAATTACTAGCCTGCCACCCGATTCCCTGTCTTTCAATAGTGTATTCTTTTACAATAAACCTCCCTTTCATTTATGCGTGTGTTGCTGTTCCTTCACTTGAGTACCACCTTTGTGTGTTTGTAACCTCTTTAAGGATACAACACAGGGTGTCAACTGTAGTGCAATGGTTAGCAAGATAATCTCAAAATAACACTGGTGTCACAAAAAAAAATCAAGAATTTTAATAAAAGAAAGCTAATAATCACCTGTTCTCCTTCCAGTGATTCATCAAATTCTTGTTGCATGAGGGCTTTGGCCAATTCTAGTTCTGTATCATATTTATCTCTCATCATCTTAGCTACTTCTGGAGCATCACCTGTCCGCAAACCTTTAAAATAATAATAAAAAGGTACCTTTATTAAAAATTGTCATTCAGTCAATGAAAAGATACTTTAAATCCCTTTATATATTTCCCAACCTGAGCAATATCGCCCACTGGTGAGCGATTTCGACTGTTGGGGAGACAATGAGCAACTGAACAAAAAAATGATGAGTGATTAGAAATTTTAGTGGGCACTATAGATTTTGAGTTTTAGAAAGGTATTTCAGCATATGCTATTAAAAAAAAAAAAAAAAATCATGCCAAGAACCTGTATAAAAGAAAACTAAATGGGAATAAATAGGTAACATTCCGAGATAAGACAGCGTCCTCAAAAACAACAAATATTTTGCTATTTTCTATAGTTTTCAGAAGGGATATTAACATTCAAATAGTTCTTCAACCGAAATAACATTTTTTTAGGATAGAAATCACATAAGGGAAGAACAACAAAAATATTTGCTGAATTTTATTAGTTGCTAGTAGTGTATATTCTTTTTAATTTTTTATAACAAAACAAAAATCATTTAATTTTTTGTCAGCACTTGCAACACTAACCACAAAATATATATATATATATATATATATATATATATATCTAAAAGGAAGAGGTTATAGTTGTTCCAATGAGAGAAAAGTGTATATATTAAAAAGAAGAGAGAAACTGCACATGTTTTTAGTTGTAATATGGATTTTTTAAAAAATATATTATGCTTTATTTTCCATAATTTTGCTACATGTATTTCAGGTCTTGCGAACTTCAGACAAAGAGTGGATATTTCCACATATTATTAAAAAGAATTAATTTTTCTCATGTTTTTAGATATTAAGCATTCTCTTTTTTGTGTGTTGGTGACCCAAATGTCTTCCTTGGACTGGCAGTGAAAAAGTTCTTCTGGTAAAGGGTAATAAACAATTAAGATTGGTTCAAGAAAGGATGAGGAAAGATATCTGTATTCTTATCTTTTAATGACTCCAGTGTGTTCTTAGATCTATTTCCATTTTTTGGTGTTTTTTGTCAGCATGCGTATATATACATATATTTCCTCTTCATACATACATACTGTCTTATAAGGAATTAGTATATACATATATACACACACATAAACACTTCTTATGTTGTGTAGGGTTCAAATGTGTACCTGTCAGCAGTCTTGTTTTTGCCAATATGTGCGCATATATACACACACACAAGTAAGTGTATGCATACACACACTCCCTCTCCAAATTTTTAAAAATAACTTGTGCTTGCCTGTAATGGAAGGCAAGCACAAGTTATTTTAAAAATTTGGAGGGGAGTGTGTATGCATACACGAATGTGTGTGTGTTTATATATATATATGCACATATTGGCAAAAACAACATTGCTGACAGGTACACATGTGAACCCTACACAACATAGGAAGTGTGTATGTGTGTATTTGTATGTGTATATTGTGTGTGTGTGTATATATATATATGTTAACCATACATACATACACAAGTATGTGTATGCATACACACACTCCCTCTCCAAATTTTTTTAAAATAACTTGTGCTTGCCTTCCATTACAGTTTTGTATTTTTCTTCCACATCTGTCAATTGCTTATGCACATTCTGAATAATTTAATTTGCTAGAGCTACTAAGGGAGCCATATGACTCCCATCAAGAATGACTATTGTTGGATGGGGGCAAATTTTTTAAAAAATTACTTGTGCTTACCTTCCATTACAGTTTCGTATTTTTCTTCCACATCTGTCAATTGCTTACGCACATTCTGCAGCTCCATCTGATGTTTGGATATTAGTTGTTCCATTTCAGCTTCTTTCATTTCAGTCAATTTCACCTGCAAGCTTTCCATGTTTCTTTCCAAATCTACTTTCATTTGTGAAATTCTTGCTTCGTAATCCGAGATAATCTGGTTAGGACTTCTGTTATAACCAAATTTCTGACCAGGTACATCCAACTTGTGAGGACTGTCTGTAATATCACAACTGTCACCAGCATCGTAGCTGTCAAAATGACCAGCAGTCATTGTGCGCTTAACCAATTCACGTTCAAACGATTCACGTCGATTCTGCAAATTGCTCTCATGATTATCTGACTGGTATTTCTCCAGAAGTTCCACAGCTTGTTTTTTGAGTTCGACTTGGAGTTGGATATCAAACTCACTTTGCAAGTCTTCAATATCCATTTTGTGTTTATGTTCCAAGTCCTCTTCTTGGCCAGACATAGCTTGTGCATGAGCAAATACCAATTCTTCTTTCTCTCGTTGTAAGAAAGTCTTTGAAGTTATCACCTCTTCCAGCTGATGCCGTAAATATTCTATTTCTTCCTGATAAGCTTTTATGTCTTTTTCAAGTGTGCAACTATCTTCTAAAGAGTTTGTATGTTCACCAGCTTTATCAGAAAGGTCTGTTACTTGAGAGTCTCGATCTGGACAAGCAGATTTCCCAAGGGAATGTCTGCCACTTGAGTTCTCTTTGTTAATCTTTGGAAAAATGAGATTCTGGCAACTGGAAGAACTTTTCTCAGTGCTTGTTAATGGAACATTATCCATTTGAAAACTATCGTCCACTTCACAGCTAGCTTCCCCAAAGCTAGCAGAAAGATCTGATTCAATTTGGGTTTTGAGACCAGTGATTTGGTTGTTGAAGCGACTCTCAATCGAGTGCACTTTAGATTTGAAATATTCTAGCAGGTTGTGCAGTGTTTGCTGTTGGTCTGTATCCAGACATTGGGAAAGATTCTTGTTATCTGTGGAGAAAATGAAAGCAAAATTAAACTTGTTACTGGTTAATTTCTTTTCATTTTTTTCCTTTTCTTAGTCAAAATTCCCCACTAATTCTTAGATTATTAGTAGATTGAGGGAAGAAGTAGTAATTTAATTATAACAAATAAAATATTGTATATACTCATGTATAAACCAACTCCATGTATAATACAATCCCTGAAATTTTTTGCATGAATTTTAACTCTACCAGAAAAAATTTACCTGTGTATAGTGCAAGCACCTATATTTTGCATTAAAAAAAAATGATCATAAAAATTCACACTATACTCAAGTATATAGACGTTAAAGTTCAGACAATTATGTCCTACAACCTTCATCTGGCGCTTGTCAATCTGTGTAATCTTCAGGGAATTTTGAACTGAACACTTTATTTAATTTACAATGTTATTTGGATAAACAAATACCTGATGAAGGCCAGAGAGCACAATGGCCGAAATGTTGTGATAACAAAAACAAAGATTTTCATAGGAGTTCAATACACTTATTATGATCAGAGTTTAGCCACAGAAATTGAATTGCTTTTTCAAAAAGCCAAATCTAATTAATGCTAAGAAAACAGGAATTTGGACTTTCTTTTTTTTTTTTAAAGAGAAGAAATTGGCTAGGAAAAATAGGAAAAAAAAATTTTTTTACAATGTTCTACAGGAAAGACCAGTGGATGAAAGTACGAACTTGGTGACAAGGTAATTGTGAGTTCAATCACAGGGTTAGGCAGTGTGTACTTGGACTTAGTGGAAACATGATGCACAATAACTGAACAGTATTAAAAATAAGAATCAGACAAGACGTGGGCAATGGAACGAGAACAGTTTACATCTATAGATTAAGTTAAAGGTTAATTTCAGAATTCCTTGTAGGTTACCTGATGTGATTTTTTTTCTTCTCAAACTGAAAGACAGTTTTCAATGAAAAGTTTTTTTTTTTTTTTTTTTTTTTTTTAATTAAAATTTTCCCATTCTACAATCAGAATTTTGGTTGGTCGATTTGTTTTTTATGGCTTAACTCTTTACAAGATATTTAAAGTGAGAAAATATTTTTCTATAGAAAGAATTTTTTTTTTTATTTTGAGATATTGTTTATTGTGTTACTAATTAACCCATAGCTGGAGGAAAGAGGTGGGTTCCTATCTTTCCCAAGAGTATCTTGTACATAAATGAATATAATGAACTCAACTGAAATTGGAACTTGGTTCACTGATTAACAATTTTGAGCATTTGTCCATTACACCATCCACACATCCAAAGTCGTAGCACTTGGTATTCCCAAGCGGTCAACCATCTAGGGACTGGCTAGGCTCAATGTTATTTAACTTCAGTGATCGTATGGAAACCAGTGTTTCAACGCTATATGGCTGTAAGCCAAGTCAGAATTTGCTGTGCTACTACATACATAATCATGAGAGCGAATTCATGTTTTCATATCTTAGTTTAATTAATCCAACTTGCAATAGAGCAAATTTCACAGGATTGCTCAGTTCTTTGAGGACACTTGTTTTAATGGTGCCAACTTTTTTCTGACTTGGTCTGATTACCATTTCTTTTCAGATAAATGGCAAATGTCAAGCTAACTCAGTCAATGAAAAGACATGATGTGATGATTGCTCACTTCCTGAAAGCTGCACAGTTGATCACAAAGAGGTGGAAACCACTAGCAGGGATTCTATAGCAATAACCAAATGTAAAATCCCTGCTAAGGGTCCTAATATCATCAAGACACCCACATTTGTACAAAAGGTACAGAAAATTATCAATAAGAACCCTTAGAATGTTAATTAGCATCATTGCTGAGGAGTTGAAGCTTTCAAGGCACTTTATCATAAGAATTGTGTGTGAGGACCCTTGACAGAAGTCATGTGAACCGGAGAGGCCAATTCATGTTTGCAGCGTCCTGGTTATGATGATAAACTACATCCGCGTCCTGGGTAAGATGATTAACTACATCCAACAGCAAGGAAGATTCTGGCTGATAATACTAGCATTTTATATAGGTCTGGTTACCAATGACATCTTGCTATGCAAGAGGCCCTTCACATAAATGTCCTGGGTAAAATGATAAACTACGTCCAACAGCAAGGCCTCTGATAAGGAGGTTTTGAGGAACATGAAACCACCTCTTAATTGCTGGTGTTCCCAAGCCCACTCTGACACGGGGTGGTAGCACCTGTTAGGGTCCCATCTATGGGCAAATAGTTAATCCTCAGACTGAGGTCAAAACACTATGAAAGCGTAAAAATAGGTTTTAATACCAGAAATAATTTTTTAAAAAATAATTACCAGCAATATACCTCCAAAAAAAAAAAAAAATAAAAAAAAAAAAAAAAAAAATTACCAGCAATGAAAATCTTGTCAGTATTAAATAACCCATTGAGGTTGATATTCTGTAAAACAAACCAAACCAAACCATGTTAGCAAAGACTGAAGATAACTGTCTGATCTGTGCAAACATTTGTTAACCAAGTTGAAACATCAAGAGGCTGGAATGCTTTAATCAGGATGAAAAGGTCAACCAAAGCAATCACAGAGAGTTATACAGAAATTATAAGGACATTCCAACTTTCATACACACAAAGTTTCCAGAACTTGTGATGGTTTTGGGAGTTGTCTCTTCTTTCCTTGGGGTTTAAAAGTCAATCTGGCTGACTAAAGAAATATTGGAGAAGCTTTGGATAGTGAGCATGAGCGAAGGAAAACTGTAAACCTACAAACAAGACTCATAAGGCCAAAGTAACAATGGCTATGAGTCACAATCTCCACAATCATGTTACCCCAAAAATATGGCTTCCGAGCTCTCTAGACCTGTACCTGTTGGACTTCTTCATATGAGGCATAGTTGAGAGGGAAGTCACTCAATACCCCTATAACATTAAAAATTTCTCTAGATCGCCAATGTCAAAAATAGCTAAAGATCATCTGATTTGGGAATGTTAACATTTCTGACCTTGAATTGAAGCAGTCATCAATAGATTCATTAAGTAGTTACACCAAAAAGTGTTTCAAGATTATTCATACCAATTTTGTCTTAAAGGTCTTCTTTCATGACTTATGCACCTTTTATTAAACTCATGCAAATGTCCTCATAGAACTGAACAACTCTATATGAACAGCAACTATGAATTTGTCAAGCATTTCTTTATTAAAATCATTTATAATGCATTTCTATAATATATTAGTAGGCCAGTGGACCAGGTAGTGCATACTTAGATGCAGTGGAAATAGAACTAGTAATAACTGAGCAGTACTTTAAAAAAAAAAAAAAAAAAAAAGACAAGAAGAGATATCCCAAGCCATGGACAGCAGAGAATAAACAGATGCATGAAGAAATCTATGGGTTAATTAATAAGACTTATCACTAAACCATTATCATCTTTAAAAAATTATCACAATCTAAATCAGTCTTTAAATAATCTACAAACGGTTGATAAGCCATAGAAAATGAATTCGTCAAACATCCGTACTAACTTGAAATTAACATCCACAATTTGTAGTTCACATATTGGATAGTTGTTATTTGTTTTTGTTTTGGCCAATCACCAAACATTCTCTATTCTTCCAGTTAAGTTAGTCCTTTCTTCTTACCTTCCATTCGTAACTTTATTATGAGAGTTCTTTAAGATGCTGTGCCACTCCAGTAGGTACCTGATACCTCTACAAGAGCTAGGACAGGCTAAAAATGGAGTACTATTGTCAGATTGGTTTATTTTGTTTTACAGCGTATCAACCTCAATGGGTTATTTAATGCTGACAATTCTGGTAATATATATTTTTTTCAAAAATGTATTGCTGGTAATAATTTTTCCTCAAAAATTTATTACTGGTAATATTTTTTTTTATGAAGTATTTCTAGTATTAAAACCTATTTTTACACTTTCATAGTGCTTTAACTGCAGTTTGGGTGTTAACTATTTACCCATAGATGGGACCTTAACAGGTGCTACCACCGCGGGTCAGGGTGGACCTGGGAACACCAGCAATTAAGAGGTGGTTCTATGCTCCTCAAAACCTCCTGACTGCTGTAGGACGTAGATTATTGTCTTACCCAGGACATGGATGTTGTTTATCATCATACCCAGGACGGACTATTGTCAGAAGGAGCTGCTCATTCTTTACTTTCAACTCTCGATAGAGTTCAAAAGTGTCTCCACATCCTTGTGGGTGACAAATTGTTTTCCATCACATGACCCCCTTCAAGAGGCTTGCAATCTGGAAAGAGGAAAGAGTTCAGACAAACTACATTCATTAGTTCTACCAGTTCCAACCTTCACAGCTATGACCCAACATGCTACATACATTGTAGCCAGCCACACTCATTCCCTTTGTATTCCATTGATAAGATGTAAGTTTCACTTGTGCAGCTTCTTAACACAAATTGCTGCTTCATGGAAACAATTGGCAAGAAGATGCTTGCCTAATCACTACAATCTGTTCAAGCCTAGTTTTAACAGTTATCTTCACCACATATCCACATAAACTGTGCCTCTTATTCTGCAACCCTCTATCTAGTGGCTCTCGAGTCTTGTACAGGTCTGGTTTGTTTTATGGCATATCAACACCTCAATGGGTCATGCTGACAACGTTTTTTTCCTGGTAATATTTTTTTCCTCAAAAACGTATAGCTGGTAATATAATTTTAAAAAATGTATTGCTGGTAATATTTTCCCAAAAAGTATTGCTAGTAATAGTTTTTTTCTTCAAAAATTTATTTCTGGTAATAATTTTTTACTAAGTATTTCTGGTATTAAAACCTAGTTTTACACTTTCATAATGCTTTTTACCTCAGTTTCAGAGTTAACTATTTGCCCATAGTTGGGACCCTAACAGGTGCTACCACCCCAGGTCAGGGTGGACCTGGGAACACCAGCAATTAAGAGGTGGTTCCATGCTCCTCAAAACCTCCTGATCAGAGGCCTTGCTGCTGGATGTAGTTTATAGTCTTACTCTGGACGCAGATGTAGTTTATCATCATACCCAGGACAGGAGCCTTGTAAAGGGTCAACATCATTGTTAAAAAAGGAAAAAAGAAAGGTTTCTTTCTGAGTCTACCATCCACATTGTCATTTGTGTATTTTGTGTTAGTATGGTCTTGTGTATGTGTTTCAAACGATTTTGGCTCAAATCCAGTGCTCCTTTGTGTTGGGCCTTGTACCTTCGAAGAGAGCAACCCCATGGTCTTTAACCTAAAGTGAGCTCACAGAATAAGACTTGATGTGAAAACCTTGACTTTTCCATTCGTGCTACATGTCCTGACCATCAAACAATGTTTAATGACCACCAATTTGACGCTTTGACAGTTGGCACTTTCCAGGACTTCTGTGTTGGTCAGAGTAATTCTATTTGATGTTCAAGAACAAACAAATTTTTTGCTGGTGAAAGTGTTCTAATTTTTGGATAACACGGCAATACAGAATCCAGGTTTCACAAAGCAAAGTTAAGTATATATCTGCTAAGTATAAAGAAAAAAAAAATTTCCTTTCTCTTAATACTTTGCTTAGTTTCTGGAAGGCAGGAAAAGAAAAAGAAAAAATATCTACCTTGAGTATCAGCAGTAGCATCCTCTGTTATTTCTTGCTTCAGACTGGCAATTTGGATTTCATACTGCCTTTGAAGAGCTTCTATTTCATCCTGCAACCGACTGATGTCTCCACGGGACTCGATAACCATGGAATCAGTCCTAGCCTTCAGCAGCTGTTCATATTCCTTAAGAATCTTTGAACGAAGGAGCACGATTTCTTCCTTCTGTTCCTCCAAGCACCTACAGATACTATCGTCAGACATTGACATCGCCAAACGACTCGACTGACCCTCATGGTTTGCATTGGCAGTTGAGTCAAGAAACTCAAGAGAGTCGGCTGCATGCAGAGCTGGCTGGGTGGGATTTTGGTAACCGGAAAACTGATCTCTTTGATTTGCTTCTTTGGAGATCACCTGAAAAAACACAAGTGGAAAAAGAATAAAATTAATTTTCATCTAACAATCCATGTGGCTAAACTTTGTGTGTGTGTGTGTATATATATATATATATATATATATATATATATATATATATATATATATATATATATATAAAATGTGTGTTTATTTGTCATCTGAGAATCAAAAGTGCAATGTATGACAACACTTATTTCAGGTACATACCTAAGGACTATGACTATATATATATATATATATATATATATATATATATATATAAATAAAAGTGAACATTGAAGCCAACACTCAGAGCGTTTCATGTTAGACGAATTATCAGGCCTGGCGATTGCATCTAGTATGAAACAGCCTGTCACCTCTGCATGTTGACTTGTGTGTGTGTGTGTGTATAGTCTTTGCCAACACTTGATCTCTAATGAAGGATTGGCCCAAAAAGTCCCTGAGATATTTTCCCTCTTTTTTAGTATTAAGATGCTTACATCAGTGATATATATAATTCAATTAAAAAAAAAAAAAAAAATCAAACTTTTGAAAACAAACAATAAACTGTTAAATTAATGAAAAGGCAATCAATATTATTTTTAAAAAAAGAAAATATAGAGCAATTTAAGACATCAAGTTTTTACAAAACCAATCACCATGCTACTGTGAGTTCTACCAATTTGGCTTAATCAGGAATTAAATTTCCTGCTTGATGATAATTGATTTTATCTTTTTTTACAATCCGACATATTTTTTTTTATTACTTCAAGCATTATTTTTAGGGGTATACTTGTAGTGGAGTAGATGCTTTGTTTTATTTTAAACATTATTTATTTTGTTAAGCAGTCTGCACACTCAGGAAAACTTATAAAAGAAAATTTTCCCTCCACCAGGATTCAAACCTGCATCACCCTTTCAAGAAGAAACCACTATGTAGATGAAATATATATTGTTTAAGACAACTGGAACACCTACTCAAATACAGGCATCCACTAAAAGTAATATTTAAAGTAATATATGTGTGTCTGTCTGTGTGTGTGTGTGTGTGTGTGTATATATATATATATATATATATATATATATGTACACACACACAAAAAAAAAAGATGTAAAATGCTGATAAAATATGTCCAATTTCAATAAAATATTTTAAATGCAATAAAGCCTGAAAAAATATATTCAAATATTTATTTCTCAGACAGGTAGATAGAATAAACCTAAAATAAAAATTACATTATTATTATTATAATATTAAGAAGAATCAGAAATATAAGGAGAAACAAAAATAATAAAATTAATGAAATGAACAAAGTACGTCAGATTTAAAACAGTTGCAAATGTGCTGCCATTTGCCTGAACATTAGAAATGAAAATACGTCAAGATGAAGCACAGAATATTTTTTATTTTAGTTTTTAATCACATTTAAAATATTAATGCTGTATTTTTAAACTCGAACAGTAAGCAAGTCAGCAATTTTTATAAGAATTGCTATGATTCCACAGCTGAAGAAAATAATTTTTTACTTGAGATTTTTCTGATGAAGGTTTAAAGATTTATAAATATCAAGTATCAATATTGAAATATAAAGTTACAAAAAAAAGGAATTAAAGAAATACTTTAAAAAAAACAAAACAAAAAAAAAACAGTTTAATAGGTTAAATCTTATATGCACTTAACATTAAAACTGATTTCAAAATCAATGTTATTTTTATCCAAATTTAATAAATCTTTCCTATCCCAAGTGATTATCTCCCTTGATTGAGAAAATAATTAGAAAATTTAACTTAAAAATTAGAAAATTTAACTTAAAAATTAGAAAATTTAACTTAAAAATTAGAAAATTTAACTTAAAAATTAGAAAATTTAACTTAAAAATTAGAAAATTTAACTTAAAAAAGAAAATTTAACTTAAAAATTAGAAAATTTAACTTAAAAATTAGAAAATTTAACTTAAAAAAATTAGAAAATTTAACTTAAAATTAGAAAATTTAACTTAAAAAATTAGAAAATTTAACTTAAAAAATTAGAAAATTTAACTTAAAAATTAGAAAAATTTAACTTAAAAATTAGAAAATTTAACTTAAAAATTAGAAAATTTAACTTAAAAATTAGAAAAAACTTAGAAAATTTAGAAAATTTAACTTAAAAATTAGAAAATTTAACTTAAAAATTAGAAAATTTAACTTAAAAATTAGAAAATTTAACTTAAAATTAGAAAATTTAACTTAAAAATTAGAAAATTTAACTTAAAAATTAGAAAATTTAACTTAAAAATTAGAAAATTTAACTTAAAAAATTAGAAAATTTAACTTAAAAAATTAGAAAATTTAACTTAAAAATTAGAAAATTTAACTTAAAAATTAGAAAATTTAACTTAAAAATTAGAAAATTTAACTTAAAAAATTAGAAAATTTAACTTAAAAATTAGAAAAAAAACTTAAAAATTAGAAAATTTAACTTAAAAATTAGAAAATTTAACTTAAAAATTAGAAAATTTAACTTAAAAATTAGAAAATTTAACTTAAAAATTAGAAAATTTAACTTAAAAATTAGAAAATTTAACTTAAAAATTAGAAAATTTAACTAGAAAAAATTAGAAAATTTAAAAAAAAAATTAGAAAATTTAACTTAAAAATTAGAAAATTTAACTTAAAAAATTAGAAAATTTAACTTAAAAATTAGAAAATTTAACTTAAAAATTAGAAAATTTTTTTAACTTAAAAATTAGAAAATTTAACTTAAAAATTAGAAAATTTAACTTAAAAATTAGAAAATTTAACTTAAAAATTAGAAAATTTAACTGAAAAAATTAGAAAATTTAACTTAAAAAAATTAGAAAATTTAACTTAAAAATTAGAAAATTTAACTTAAAAATTAGAAAATTTAACTTAAAATTAGAAAATTTAACTTAAAAAATTAGAAAAAATTAGAAAATTTAATTAAAATTAGAAAAAAAATTAGAAAATTTAACTTAAAAATTTTTAAAAAATTTAACTTAAAAATTAGAAAATTTAACTTAAAAAATTAGAAAATTTAACTTAAAAAAATTAGAAAATTTAACTTAAAAATTAGAAAATTTAACTTAAAAAATTAGAAAAAATTTAACTTAAAAAATTAGAAAATTTAACTTAAAATTAGAAAATTTAACTTAAAAATTAAAAATTTAACTTTTAAAAAATTAGAAAATTTAACTTAAAAATTAGAAAATTTAACTTAAAAATTAGAAAAAATTTAGAAAATTTTAAAAATTAGAAAATTTAACTTAAAAATTAGAAAATTTAACTTAAAAAATTAGAAAATTTAACTTAAAAATTAGAAAATTTAAAAAAATTAGAAAATTTAACTTAAAAATTAGAAAATTTAACTTAAAAATTAGAAAATTTAACTTAAAAATTAGAAAATTTAACTTAAAAATTAGAAAATTTAACTTAAAAATTAGAAAATTTAACTTAAAAATTTCCAACTTAACATATATACTCCATCCAAAAATTGAAGTAACTTCACAAAAATGACTGATTTTCTTGATGAATTTGATTTGTGTGATTAAGTGAACTATATATATATATATATATATATATATATATACACACTTCTAGTGTTCAGAAGATTTAGTTTTTTGAAAGAGTACTGCATCCTCTTGTGAAAAAAACATTCTTTTGAAAGAGTACTGCATCCTCTTGTGAAAAAAAACATTCTTTTGAAAGAGTACTGCATCCTCTTGTGAAAAAAACATTCTTTTGAAAGAGTACTGCATCCTCTTGTGATGTAGTATGTTACTCTTTTGAAGAGGTAATGCCTTCGTGAATAGAGACAAAAGAAATTTACACATTTCTGTTGATGACATGACAACTCTCATCCTCACAAATGCAACAAAGCTGGTGCCAAGATGTATCAGCCCCTGCCCTTCTATCAGACAACATTGATACCAGGAGAAGAGAGATGTGCTGCATAGGCAACTGTTGATCTCCCATAGAAAAAAAAATCCTGACCATGTTTGTATCCTGAAGAGGTCACTCCAGCGTTACTTCATCTACAATGCTATAATACCAAAGTTAGCTGAATCTCACACACAAAAACATCCAAGCAGGCCTATAGTCACTGAAGATTGATGGATATCACACAATGTACATATTGATCTGTATGGAAATAAAGCTATTTTAATACTTAAGGAAGACTTTTTTTTGTTTATTTATCTTTTTAAAAATTTGATACTGGTGTGTTTATGTGAAGAATAAGTACATAAAAATTTGCGTAGATGACAACATATACACCACTGAAAAATGTAATTCCGGTCAGGCACTCTTGAGAGAAAGTGCGAATTTGCAAACAATGACTGCTACTGCTAATACTGCAAAGCTCTTCTACGAATTGAGCCCTCTCGGTCACTGGTGTGCTTATCCGAAGAATAAGTACATAAAAATCTGCCTTCCTCTCTACCAGGGGCTGATAGCTCAGGAGTAGAATCTCCGACTGATACCAAATCAGTCAGGTTTCAATCCAGGCTTGAGGCAATCTGATGTCTAGCCACACTGATGAGCTGTGATGCAGAGAAACAGTCTGTAGATGACAATACAGGAGTTACAATATTGAAAAATACACTTAGCAACAAACAGGTTAAAAGTAGAAATTACCATTGAATCATAGAAAATTTTTTTTAATATCAAAAATCAATGTGTGTGTTAAGGTTAAAAAAATATATTTTAATGCATCCTCTGTATGAGTGAACAATTTAAAACTTTTATGTGAAGCCTATATAATCCAGAGAGATTATTGTAAATGATCTTTTTGTCTCCAAGTTAACTCAAGAATATTTTTACACTATTTGGCAAAATCTGTATTTGATGGCATATAAGATTATTCTAATTTTAGGCATTATAATTCCAGGTAGACAAGGATTGTTGGCCTTGGTTGGCAGTCTGTCAAGGAAAAAAAATATCACCGATTTTAAAACTGGGACATCTTAGTGACAATCTTTCAAGTGGTTGACAGCTTCATCTACATGTTGAGATTGGATTGCTCAGTCATCAGCTTCCAAGTAATGGTCAAAAGAGGATTCAGAACCCACCCACATCACCACCCCATACCAATGAGAATCATGGACAAAAGGATGTGTAGGTGGTTTAATAGGTGGCAATTTAGAATAAGAAACCATAGCTGAGTTTGAATAGTTGAGTTTATTATATTCACTTATAAGCAAATACCCATAAGAATCCAACTCTTCTTTCCTCAGAATGGGCTCCTGAGCCATGGCTGGCAACCAATCTAAGAGAAGGACAACTCTAAATACAAACCATAATAATTGTTCATGATCCCCAACCCTCAGCAAAGAGGATGGGAAGAAGCAAAATAGTTTTAAACAAGATAGAAGCACTGGTAATTTATATCTACTCAGTTGAAATTACTCAAAATATTGTTTCTAAAATGACACAGTTCAATGAAAAATCAAACATTTATATGATTAATGTGAATCATGTTTTGTTTTGCTAAAGTAGATTTTGTTAAAATCCATTTTTATCATGACAGTAATTAATTGGCAAAACACGTCTAAGCAGAAGTTTATCACATTTTCTCATATAACGGCTGACAAAAATTATAGGATTAGCACTCTTAGAGAATATTCACTTTAGTTTGTTTTCTTTGTTTAGACATAAATTAACTAGTCACAGGGAAGATGCAAAACTATACTATTATAAATATTTACTTATAAAATGATGAACATGCTAGATAATAAAATCTCACACCCCCAAATAAGTTGTGGGTATGATGATAAACTGCAGGGTGTTTCAAAAGTCACGTTACCAGTGATAACCTTGTAAATGACTATATTTCTGAGATGATGTATTATGTACACAATTTACATTATTTGGACTATTGTCCTCATCTTTGTCACTATATTTATTACAACGTTTCAGCCATTGTACGCTCTGGCCTTCTTCAGGGGGTTGGAATGTCAAACTGAACCCTTTATTTTGCTCACTGGGATAGACTGTTCTAGTTCTATGAGCCATGTTTAATGGATGTCAGCTATCAGTTATCTCCTGTTAATTCCCCTCTTTAAGTTCACCACTGCCTTAATCAGGTATTGAACTCACACTCTTTGAGTCCTGTCAGATGTAGTTTATATATATATATATATATATATATATATATATATATATATAGACTCTCCCATAGAGATTTGATGTATGAGGGTCAAGCAGATCAGTTTCCAGGAAACCGACAGCCCGACACCGGCACATGAGATTTGATTATAGTGGTGAAGGCCTCGTGCAGGACCATCCGCACTTTTTGAAGAGACGAATACAGAGACCTGGTGCACCAAATGCTACAAGGTTCCCAAACGACCCTCCGCAGGTTTTGAATTCAGAGTTGTCCTTCTCCTAGACCAGTTGCCATCCAAGGCTATAGAACCCAGTCTGTCCTGCTATTTTACTCATAGCTGGAGGGAGAGTAAGAGGATTCATACATTTCCCAAGTGTATTAGCACGTAAGTGAATGTAATGGATCTGACTGGAATTCGAACTTGGCTCTGCGATTCCTCAATCCAAGCCGCTACCCATTACTCGACCATCTATCTATATATATAGATAGATAGATAGATAGATAGATAGATAGATAGATAGATAGATAGATAGATAGATAGATAGATATATATGGACAATTCAATGTGATATAATGGTTGGCAAGTTTGTCTCACTAGATTAATTACGACCAAGTAAGGATTTCAATGCTCTACACTTTCATCCTTGTGCCACATCTAAGCAATGCTTAGAAAATCATTGGTCACTTCGACATAATGTAATGATTAGCAAGCTTGCCTCACTTACAACTGAATAGTGAGTTCGATCCTCACTGGGTGCTTCGTGCTTTCAGGCTTGTGCCACAAGTAACCCAGGTTTTCACTTTCTCATCAACATGATGCAGCTTCATTCTCTCTTCTCTACAAATATTTTCATAGTCAAACAATATTTTTTTTTTTACTCTGGTGCTCCGACTAAAGGAATGTAAACGTGCTACTAGATTGGCAACTAGGCCTTACTATTTTACTGTTTAAATAGCTCAATGCAACTGCTACTTCTACCCAAACATTTTCTTTTCTCGCACTTCCCACAAAGATGGAGGCCCACACTTTGTGACTGGCTGTTTAGCATCCTATTTTGATAATAACTAAATTTTATAAAAAGGTTGTGGGGGGCAGTTTGTTATGCAGATTTTTTGTAAATCAATGGCCTGACAAAATCTAATACTAAATACACTTATACTAAATGATTTCTTCAAGTGTGAAAATTTTGTTTTTCAAATTTGAAATTCAAGATTTGGAGTGCTTTTTTCTTTTTCTTTTTTAAATATTACAAAATAGGCAACACAATTAGAAATAATTCTTCTTTCATATTACTATACATTACAAACAAATAAAAAAAAAAAAAAAAAAAAATTCCAGAGTTAATGAGGTTCGGGTGGGATGTCCTGTTATATAAATTCATTATAAATTGATCCCTCTATGGAAAACAAAACAAATATACTCATGCAACATGATTTCTGAAAATTTAAAATAATTTTTTTCTTTTTTAAATTCGTAATCTTGAATGCTTAATCTAATTCATAATATTTGAAAAAAAAAAAAAAAATTTAACATTTTTTTTCAAATATTATGAATTAGTGAATTTACATAACAGGACACTCTCACCTCATTAACTTTTGTATTTTTTTTTTTTTCAATATTTGTGCTTAATCTATAGTAATATGAAAGAAGAATTATTTCTAATTCTGTTGCCTATTGTACAACTCCACCTGTAATTTTCATATTAAATCATTGTTGCAATATAATTAACTTATCTTTATATTAAATCACTTATATCCTAATAGTAAATTTACCTTGTTATTTTTATAACTAATAATTATTTACCAGTTATTCCGACAAATATACTGATCAGTGTTTTTAATCACAAAGAGCAGAAAGTAATTGATTAATAACAATTTCACTATTGAGATATAATCTGTGACTTTTTAGGTGAGTTTAAAGAATGACTGAATTTTCTATTTTTGTATTGTTTTTGCTGATGACACAATTTGGACAACGTAGCCTACAGTTTTCTTCAGCAAAGTCTTTTTTGTTTTTATTTTTTTAATAAAGTTACGAAAAATATCTTCCTACTTGAAGCTTGAGTAGTACACTCAATTAGCAATGAGTAATTGAGAGTAAAATTTACCTATCAAGGTGACAAAGCTATAATCAGATTAAATTGAGAGGGTGGAGGTGAGGTGTGAGATCATGTAAGTATACTAAAAAGCTTAAAATTACGTATTTTATCTACATATATTTAGCAGTTAAGAATAACAGATGTGTGTGTATATATATAAAAATCGACTCTCCCCGCCGAGATTCGACGATGAGGGTCAAGCAGATCAGTTTCCAGGAAACCCACAGCCCAACACCGGCACATGAGATTTGATTATAGTGGTGAAGGCCCGTGCAGGACCATCCACACTTTTTGAAGAGACGAATACAGAGACCTGGTGCAATCAATGCCACAAGGTTCCCAAACGACCCTCCATGAGGTTTTGAATTCAGAGTTGTCCTCCTAGACCAGTTGCCATCCAAGGCTATAGAACCCAGTCTGTCCTGCTATTTTACCCATAGCTGGAGAGAGAGAAAGAGGATTCATACCTTTCCCAAGGGTATTAGCATCGTAAGTGAATGTAATGGATTCGACTGGAATTAACTCGGCTCATGCATTCCTCAATCCAAGCCGCTATCCATTACTCCACTGTGCCTATATATATATATATATATATATATATATATAATATAAATGAAACTCAAAAAGTACCTCATTTGTATGGCCATTTCACCCTGAAAGAAATTAATTTTCTGAGGTTTATCAACACCAAAGGGTTTGAAGATAAATTAAAAATAAAAAGGAAGCTTAAAGATTTTTAAACTTTAAAGAGACAGGAAAGAAGAGAAAGGCAAAGATGACAAAGTAAGAGAAAAAAAATTACAAGGGAGGAAAGAGAAAAAAAAGGGAAAAAAAAAAAAAAAGAGAAAAAACCTAAGATTAATTTATTGCGGCATGAAATGGCCATATAGATGGGATATTTTTGAGTTTCATTTATATGTAATTTATTTATATATGCACTGTAATAAATACATTGAGCTTTCGGGACCAGTTTTAATATTTTATATTATTAAGATTCAGTTGGATTACTTATACATGGATGATATATATATATATATATATATATATATATATATATATATATATATATGTGTGTGTGTATATGTATGTAGTTCAAAGTGAGGGTGGTGTAATGGATACCAGCTGGGAATGTGATATCAGTAAGGCAAGTTCAAATTCCATTAGAATTCATTATATTCACAAAGATCATTATCACTTTCCCCACTAGCTACGAGTTAAATAGTAGAACAGACTGGGCTCTCTAGCTGTAATTGGTAACCAGTTGACAAGAACAACTCTGAATTTAAAACACACAGAAGAAATCTGATGAGAATATACCATGTAAAAGTAAAAAAGATGAACTATTAGAAATCTTAACCAAAGAGATTATAGTTTGGTTTAGTTTACGGCATATCAACACCTCAATGGGTTATTTAATGCTGACAAATTTTTTATTGCTGGTAATATGTTTTTCTTCAAAAATCTATTTTTGGGAATATTTTTCCTTGAAGAAATCTATAGCTGGTCATTTTTTTTTTTAAAGAATGTATAACTATTTGTATTGCTGGTATTTTTTTTTTTTAAGTATTGCTGATAATAATTTTTCCTTCAAAAATTATTGCTGGTAATAATTTTTTATTACAAAGTATTTCTGGTATTAAAATCTATTTTTACACAAGTTTGAGTGTTAACTATTTACCCATAGCTGGAACTCTAACAGGTGCTACCACCCCAGGTCAGGGTGGACCTGGGAACACCAGCAATTAAGAGGTGGTTCCACGCCCCTCAAAACCTCCTGATCAGAGGCCTTGCTGTTGGACGTAGTTTATCATCATACCCAGGATGACCAAAAAGATTAAAAAAACCAAAAAAAACTCACATTAATAAAATTCCATACAAGTACAAACATATTGAATATATTTAACAACCTGATAGGTGATGACAATATTTAAAGCAATAGATAAAATGCACTACAAACTGATGAAATAATATTTGAACACTAATAAGTAACAATGAATAAAATAAATAAGAGGCTAAAATTATAGATGCATTCTCATTCTATTTTCTACTTTTATATTAATACACGAACAAATGTTTTATTTACATTGTTTGGATTGTTGTCCTCATCTTTATTCTCACATTAACAACATTTCGGCCATTGTACACTCACCTTCTATTGTGGAGCTATTTTGGAGTGGAGGCTTGTCTTGTACTAAATCGGTCCTAAATAGTTTGACGTACAAAACGTTAGGAACTTGATATAATAGGTATTATACAGAGTAATACTGTTGTGGTCGCTGACCACTTTCATATTCGACTGTCGACTACTGTCATCCGACATCGACTGACCCTCATTTCTCTTACTACTCCTGCTTATATTAGGTGGGAGAGTCTATTAAGTATAGAATAGCTGTGTTTCACCATAACACCTTCTTCAGGTGATATTTGTTGGAATTTCAAACCAAAATCTTTATTTAGTCCACAGGAATAGATTGCTCTAATTCCATATATGATACCTTTAAATATATCAGTTTTAGTTAATTCACCTTGTTAAGTTTTTCTTCTCTCCGCTGAGACCAGGGATTGAACTCACAACTCTTTGGGTCAAGTCACTTTTAGACTTAATCAACCAATGCTTTTGTCCATTGGGTCACATTTTGTTAATGTCTTATGGTAGCTAAAAGTACTAAGAAGATCTAAAACAATTCATGTTCAAACTCATCCTGGAACTTGTCAAAATTGAAGAGAATCACTTAAGGAATATATAAACATAAAGTGGATATTGAAGTCAGCACCCACAGGTGACAGTCTGTTTTATACTAAACACAATCATCAGGCCATGTGATATTTGTTGGAATATGGCCACTTTGATATTTATATATGCTCTATTCCTGATACTGAGCACTTTAGCCCATAAATATCACATATCTTAAAACTATATTTTATATATATATATGAAAATTTCTCCGATTTAACCAGTAGAGAAGACAATATTTATGAATAAAAATGACACTAGGAAAACTTGTAATTGCTGACACGTTTCGTCCAATATGGACTTTATCAAAGTAAAATACGAAATAAATTTAATTGAACAAGGTAACTAATAAAAACAAAAACAGAATGTTCCTAGCAACTAGAATGTAGAGAAACGCTATTTTCATATTGTTAACTGAAAATAACGTCAGTATTTGTCACGTGTGGAGAATATTGTCATTATATCTGTGTTGATGTATTCAACCATTTTCTTTTGATTTTATGAATCTGTTGTGTACATTTGTTTGAGAGCAGTAATTTTGTTAAGAAAGGTGAAATGGGAAAAAAATTAATAAAAGAAAATAACTCACTCAGAAGGAAAATTCTAGAGAGTGCTGCCATAGAATATTACCCAAATATTAATCTACGCCCAGGTTTTTCCCCAATACATATAATTATATCAATAGGAACATTACTAGGCCAGAATTCTTTCAATAAAAATATTACTAGGATATATATATTTTCTTAAAATACATTACCCAG